CCCCCCCCCTCCCCCCCCCCCCAAACTCTTTGTAGGGATGCTAGGTCAATGCCCTAGCAACTACGGCATGCCCAGCCATGAAGACACCCCCCCCCTCACACGCACCTTGCTCGTTTTCAACCTCGTCACGCGCCCGATCGTGTTGGTGTACTGCGGCTTCTGCTGTGGTGGAATTTTCCTGTAAATTTCATCTCTAGCACGTCCGTGTGGCGTCGCAAGGTTACTCGCGACTCCTACGGAAATGTAGTCCTTTCCCTCCCCCCGCATCACCGCCTCGTCCTTGCTGCGCTTTCGGCCCGTGTCGTGGTTGTTCTCTTTTTTTTTTTTATCTTAATATGACACAACGAATCCATCTCTATCATAGAAAAGAGTCTGAGACAGATTAGCAATGAATTTATAGCGTCAGAAAGTACCTGTCATATAGGGACCTCTCCCCTGCGGGTAACAGGCTCAACAAGACAGTTTGGTAGCTGTCTTGTGTGTCTCATGTATGTTATGTTCGGAACGTGCAGAAGAAATCTTTTCTCTCTTGACGACGGGTTTCGCGGTTGGTTGCGTTTCACCGAAAAAAGGTGAAACCGCTCAAGATTATCTGGGACAAGTACCCAAGATGGCACGCCTCCAACACCTTGCATGTCGACGACCTCTCCAGGAACTTCGCGCTCAACCCAAAGTGAGCCAGCCAGCCAGCCAGCCAGCCAGCCAGCCGAGCCTATCAGGGCCGGCATTGCTTTTTTTTTTTTCGTTCCGTCCATGTATATATTTCTGTCTAGAATGCCCCTTTCGGTGGGTGTTTTGGGTCACACAGAAGGAACTCTCCACGCTTCCTCCTGTGAGTACAAGGTGGAAGTACTACACAGGGAGGGCATATCAAAGCGGGCGCAACGTATTATAGTATATAAAGGGTAGGAATACGGGCGGGTTCGAAAACACCTAGCCCCTACACCTGTGTCGCGCTCGACCTGGCCGCAAACACAGGAACGGTGTTAAGGTCAAGGCGTTCCGGCGCAAGAGCGACGGGAGGCTGCCCACGGACGACGACGAGCTGATGCTGCTGGCCAGATACCTGGTGCTGGTGGCGAAGCGAGACGGGCGGGAGGGGAAAGGCTGGGATGGACTCGATCACATGGACTGGAAAGGCGAGCTGAAGAGACTTGGGTAGGGTGGGGGTCACTGCTGCTGCTGCTGGACTCACCGCTGGCTTTCCTTCGGGAAGAGGCTTCGGATAGCTTTACAGGGGCGCTGCTGGTCCTTGTATTGCTTCACCAGAGGATAGCCCTGTAGAGTGGTTCTGCTGCTCGGTGCTTCAGGACATGAACTCGAGCGGCCCTTCCTTTTGTTTTGCTGCCGCCTGGATAAGGCGTGGTAGATGGCGTTTGCTCTCCCTCTCTCTCCATTTTTTCTTGGACAAGCGTCCAGAGGGGGACCGCTATCCTCCTCGTTTGGAGGGAGACGCTGCGAGAGACGCTGCTCTCTTTTTCCCGTCGTTTCTCTCTTGTCGAGTCGTAGTCTGGACAGGCAGCCGGGGAAAGTTCTTTTTGGGGGGGCACACCAGGCTGCTACGTGGATAGGGGGTGCCCTTCACGCGAAGTGGGCGAGCGCACGGAAGGAGAGTGGGCGGTAGCCGTTACGGACCACGTTTCTCCTCGCACCCTGTGCAGCACAAGAACGCTGCTAAGGGCGCGAAAGAGGAGGCAGCTCGTGTATCCCCAGTCTTGCCTGTGAGACAGGGGGCGGCAGCTGTTGTGTGTGCTCGTGTTTGTAGTGTCGTCCGTGGCATGTACGCAGGGAGGCTTATTTTTGTGGCTTGGCGCCATATCTTTTGAGCGGCTTCGTACGACTAGAAGAAGGTGGCCTAGCAACGCGCTTCAGCCGACGCTAGAACAAGGTTCCGGTGACATGCCCGTGGAATCGACGTCGATGATCGTCCCGTTGCTGCTATCTATGTTTGGGCCGCTTCTTCGCCTCTCCGTCAGCCCCGTTTTTCTGTCGCTACTGTCGTTGTCGTTGTCGTTGCTTGTGCCTTAGCCTGGCGCCTTTTTCACTAGTTCAGATGTGCCGGGTGATATCCACCTCAAAACCCGGCCCTAGAAGGAGTCAGCAGGAAACGAGTTGGACCCTCGTCGTTTACTGGAGGTTGTGTGCTCCCGCGGGTGTTGGTTGGGGTCCTAGATCTGGAGGTTGTACAATGTGGGGAATGTTTGTGTGTCCCAGGAGTTTTGACGCCGCGTTTTTTTTTTTACGGTGCCCCAGGTATCGGTGTTCAAACAGGGAGCGAGCGCCGAAAGGGGGTGTGTTGCTTCGTGTGGTGTACTCAAAATTCTCGGCAGGGGTCATGATGTCATACGACACGGATCGGTCGCAATTTTTTTTTTTTATCTTTCTTGTGTTGGTGGAGCATTTGTGTGTGTCTCTGTCGGTATGGTTCGATTCGCTGCGCTGCCACAACAAGTTGAGGGTTCAAGCGCTGGACCGACGACCGCATGCTCCAGAAACCCTTGGGAGCGTGACATGTGTGACATGTACCCATTGCCTCCTCCCTGTGCACCGTGGTCGATCGATAAGTGTCCGTGTTTCGTCGTAGAGGCGGCCGCGGTACCGAAATGCGTTTTCTTTTCGGAATGGCCCCTGGGACGTAGAGGAGAGTTCGCGCTGAAAGAAGCACCTTCCACCGAATATTTATATGGTGGGATCTAGTTTCTCCGCCGCAGACGGTGTATTGTCCCGTTTTCTGTGGTCTACGGAACGTGAAGAATGGACGGTATTTTTCGTGCCGGTTCGACGATAAGATCTCGAATTGCGCCGCTTTTTTGCCGTTAGGTGCTGTGTTGTTTTATACGATTACGTGCTTGCCGGAGACGAGACTACGGGGGGTTCGAAACCGATTGGATGCTCGCGTTGTGACGGATGGCACGAAGTAGATTTCACTTTGTGAGGCGCGTTGCGTCTAGCTAGACCTTTCAAGCCCGGACAGCGCGTTGTAGCCGGGAATGGAGCAAAGCCAGCGGCGGCGGCAAGGAGTCGCGGGCAGTTCAGGGTTGTCGGTGTAAGTGACGGCGGCCCAAATGTTTCATGGATTCGTCGTCACGTCGTGTGTTGCTGTTATGGCGTCTGCTTGTCTTGCGTGCCATTTTTTGTACAAACTAGGAGGGTGGATGTGTTGCGTTGCACGGTCGACGGCTAGGCCTTGTTGTTGGATGCTCTCACAAGCAGTGGTTGGATCAAGGCGTGCGTTTTATACAATACTGGCACAGTATAGCGTGGTGTATTGAGCGCGTGTTGGGTGTCCTTCGGTAAGGTTAAGCTCTGGTCAAAATGTCTCTTTGGCATTCTAGCGGGGGAAGCGTCTCCGTTCCAGCGCCCGCGGCGGACCCTGCTTTTGTTTCGGAGCGGTGTGCAACCTTGGGGCATTCAGTGCCTCTCACACGCCTGCTATCCCTCGCAGATAGGTAATTGGTTTGCCTGTTGATCTCCTGTCAGGGGGCGGTTTCGTCACTTCGGCGGAGAGTGATTGTGCGTCTCTGGACGGGGCCAATTATTTGCGCGTACGTTGTGTGGGTTTTCTCCGACTCGCGCCCCTACCAGTCACTCCCAACTCCCTCTCGCGACCTTTCGCGAAGAGGGACACATAGTGAAGGTGTGAAAAATGAAGCATTGACCACAAGGCACGGCATTGAGGCCCATGTTGACAGATATTGAAGCCCATACGGCTATTTGTATAGTACGTAGGCATCCCTCCCCCCCTAGCAACAGCATGTTGCCGACAAAGCAACAGCCGAGGCGGGAGGAGAGCAAACACACCGGACTTGAGTGCACCATTGCGTATCGTAGCCGTCAAGTCTGCACTCAATCGTGATGAGGGAATTCACAGTTCAAATTGCCTTCTCGCGAGTAGTAGGTTACTCGTCACCTGTTTCACTCATTCTCCCCACGATGATGTAGTTGGCTGCAACACCTATTTGCTTTCGAAAGACATTACCTACCCTTGGAGCTTTACCAATCAAATCCGAGGCGAAACATGTTTACTTCCACACCCTTTCACATCTGTGACTTGAGTGAGTTCTGGTCGTACCCGGACACTCATTTTCAAAAAAGACCTGCTGCATCCGACACCAACATACTCACATATTAGGTGTCCATGTAAGGTACGTATGCTCTACATGTAGTTGGATCCAAAATTCATCATGTAGGCGACACACCACGATCTACTCGCAACTCATGGAGAGGAAGGCCGATGGAAAGACCGAACAATACCCGTGACACTCCTTCATCGAACCAAAATAGAGAACGGGTCTCTAGGGGAGGATAAGTCACAGAGACGAGGAAGAGTACAGTGATCTAGCGTGCGCCCCGGTCTTGTCTCTGGCCAGCCGTCTTTGCGTGATGTTGCCGACCCGGATGTGCCTCTCGTCCTCGTATCTGTCGTCGTTCGTTCGAAACCAGAGATAGAAATCATCACCATCATAATGCAAAGCCGGAATGAAAAACCCCTCATGCAATACACGCAATACACCTGTCTTCGATCGATATGCGAAAGTGATGTCGACCTCAGCTAAACATCATGGGTAAGAGACCGGGGTCGCTTAATTGCCATCAAACTCTTTTGGACCGGAACCTGGTCTAAGGGCTTCCTATTGCGTCTAGGGCAGTCCCATGCCATGCGAACGGCTACGCGATGCTATTGTTGCAGTATGTGTATGACCGATGATTTTGTTGGGAACAGTCCATTCGAGAGGCTCGACAAAATAGCACCCGAAAACGAGTCGAGAAACCGCAATTCATGATCGATTACGTCCACCATGAGGAAATTCTACGTCGAACTTTGAGTGGACAAAATACCCGCTGAAGCTCTATGGTAGTAAATATGGAATCTTGCCTCCTCAGTCGTTGGCGCCAATCGTGGACGTCTTCGTTTGGGTGTGGCAGCAGACCCGCCTCGCTCACCACCCGGAAAAAGTGGTAGTACGCCAGATTGCCGATCTGGGAACACAAATCGTAGTACATGCAGCAGAAATGAAGAGGAATGATTGTGCTAAAGATATGTCATCAACTAGGTTCACTCCGCAGAAGAAGAGATGTCGGAAGTAAAAACGTTCATCGCATATGAACAACTAGCAGCAGCGAGTGAAGTTTCGCGGGGATGCTCACAGTACAATTGATTTTGCAAACTATCCCCAAAGACAACCGAATGTTGAACACACAGCCCTACCCGTGGCACCGATATGCAAACAGGATGTTACCTACCTGCAGCTGGTGTTGGCTGCGCATGGTTCCCATGAAAGTTGCGAGGTTGTACGGCGTCCAGTTGGAGGCGGCCACCTCCGCTGTCTCCAGCGCCTTCTCCGTGTTTAGTCGTTCCTCCTCACTCACGGTCCACCTATGTCACGTGATGAGTGAAAAGGGGGCGGAGTGAAATTAGAAACGGAACGAGGTGATGCTAATGCACGGAAAAGAAAAAACGATAGTTTGGGACTCTTTCTCCTGCTTCTCATTATTTTACGGCGATAACGTCAACGTACAGCATTGCGAGGAGAGTTTCTCACCCAGGTATGTGCTTCTTGCCCGGTGCGTAGCGGATCAAGGCGTCACCACCCGAGGTCCCCTGGCACAGCCACTGCCAACCCCCCTTGATACTGTCCATTTCTCGCCTCGCCTGCGTTGGCAGAGCTTCACCATATCAAGTTTGTGCCAACTCTGGCCGACTCTGGCCGACCCAACACACAAGAACAACGTCGGCTCGATGGTTCAATGCATCGCTAATTGTTTGCGATGGGTTCTTGGTACGGTAATCCCCGTTGTCGGCTGTAGAAGGGTTGGCTCGGGGTTGGCAACAGGATTTCACAACAAGCCGCAAGCACGTGGTGAAGATGTGCTAAACCTAACGGCAAAGGGTGGAAACAGTCCAGGTGAAATGAGGTACGAATATGCACGGCATATGATACGGGAGTTTCTATAGATGAAACCGAGACACCGCTGAGACTCTACTGGGCATTTTTGCTACACACGACTGTGTTTAACAGAGCTTCTATGCTGTCGGTTTTGGTGTTCGTGGTATCCTCGCACCCACCTGTGGCTCTTCGTTGATCAACGTCTGAAGCATCTCGGCGCCCTTGACCTGCACCAAGTCGTTCCCGACCAGCCTCTGCATCGCTTCGAACACTACACGAAACCCACGCGCCTGGGACGGGCAACAACGATGCAAGTACAACCAAACGCCGCCTGGTTGACAATACCTTGCACGCACCGAAAACAGTGCCCCCACCGCCGCTCGACCCAGTGTGCGGTTGTCGAGTGTGCTCCGCACATGGACACAGTTTCCTAACGGTTCGAAACGGACCGCGTCCACAGAGGCAAGACCTCTGGGAGTGATACCGAGAAGCATGTCTTGATACTCCGAATCGCATGGCTTGGGGGGTTAATACCGAGCATCAAGCCTCGTAATGCTGAAACCAAAAAGAAGGGTGAGGCCCTTGAGGGAGGTGAGCCCCTAAGGAGAGCCCGTAAGATGAGTTCTCAAGAAGGTGAACCCCGAATTCACTCCGTTATGTACAGCCTCGAGGTTCAATGATTGGAAGCTTAGGAAATCACCCGCCGCGTTGGGGAGTACAAACCGCCAACCTGTTCGCCAATATCGCCAGATGTTCACATGCACGACACGGAGGCCCACTACAGTAATACAGCACATTAGTGAGCTGGCGAGAGCTGCACCATAACCCCATACCTTCAGTATCCGACCGCGCCCTTCCGGCGAGACGCTCAAGAGAAGTAGCAGACCGGTGGCGGCGGTTAGGACACCACTGTGGCACCTGTCGTTTTTCGGTACCGGGCATGCGAACGCAGAGAAGAATGAGTTTCACTGTTTCTTGGGACTGCTGTACTTTTTCCCGGAGGTGGTCGGCCAGATCCAAACCTCACGTTCCCCGAGGAGGGTAGTTGAAGCTGTCCGCATACCTAGGACGGTAGCGCGCAGGTTTCTTCTCCAAGCATGAAGAAAGGACGATGGCATCCTAAAGCCCGTGGCAACCCCCGAAACCTTGTGTTTCTGCATCCCGCGAGTGCCTATGACGCATTGGTGCCACGGTGTTCGGCTGCCGGCTAAGACACACCTGAAGCAGCGGATGGTCGAAATGGCGATCTCCACGGAACCCCCTCTTACCAGCCGCCGCCGCCCCCGCTCGACGCAACCAAGGTATTCCATAACTCTCAGACACGTCTCCGCCAACCGAGCGTATCTGTCGCTGCAATCCTCTGCGCCTCCGTCCCACCTAGACCCCGCTTCTTGCTTCACTCTTGAAACGAGATGCTGCAGCGTGGCGGACATGGCGGCCACGCCTCCCGCCTTGAGGACGAGACGCTGACACACAGGGCTGTCCTGCACGGCAACCGAAAGAACGAAGACTAGATCCGTCGTCGGAACATTCATGTGAGACCCGGGCGGACTTTTCCGCGCTGAAGCTGCTGACGACATGGCGCGATCTCGACTTTTTCTCTCCGGGCTGGCATCTTCTTCCCGTTCTTCTAACCTCGTGTTGCTTGATAGACATGGCAGTAGGTTGGCCATCGATGGCGGTGCCGGGACTGCTAAAGACGAGCCATGGCCATCACCGGCTGTTGATCCTGTTTCAGGTCCACCAAGGTCTAGGGGCTTCATCGCCGATGTGCCGTTGCTGTCGACCTTTTCAGCAGACGCTTCCGTTGTCGATGTCGCATTTCCCAGAGTTTTTCTGCCCCCGGCGCTTCCCTTCCTCCCATCGTAACCCGGATCATCTCCTACCCCTCCGCCATCCGAAGCTTGACCTGTCGACAGGAAGCTTGCTGTGGATGCGTTCGCTGTGTTGTCGGACGGTGTCATTCTGGCGGCGCAAGCAGCGGCTACAGCGGGGTTCCCTCTAATAGCCGCAGCGGCTGTGACCTCGCTCGCAAACACCCACAGGAGCCGGACCGCCAGGGGCTCGATCTTCTTGTGGCCGGCGTGCTCCTCCAGACAGCCAAGCACGGCAGGAACTGCCTCGAGCCTTACGCACAGAGCGGCACCGCTCTCTCCTCTGCCAGTGCTGCTGCCGTTTGTCGAGGAGGGCGTAGTCGGGTGGCCGCGGTGTGCGCGCCGAAGAGAACCATCTTCACTGCCGCTGTCGTTGCGTCCGGGGCCAGGGTAGAGCTTGGTGGCCCTTCCGCCGAGATTTGCAGCAGGGTCTTGTGAAGACTCGCCGATGCGTTTTTTTTTGTTTCCACCTTCACTTCTGCCGCCGGCTTGGCTGACTTCGCGGAGGCTACTAGGAGTTCCGACTGGTCCCTCCCGTCCTATCCGTTCTGCTGCCACCGACAAGAGCCCTTCGAGGGAGCTGATCACGACAAATGCGTTGACCCGCGCTTCCGACAGCGCCAGCTGCACTACGCTCCGAACGTGCTCCCTCCCCACACGAGTCAACGCCGAGGGAGGTGTATGAGCATCTTCTTGACCGGAAGAAAAGGCAGGGGCACGAGCTGAGGCGGGAGTAGAGGTAGTGTTGGAAGGGGAAAGCGCAGCAGAAGAAGCGTCCCGGTGGTCTGATTCAATGTTTATGGCGGTCTGATGGCGAAGCCTCTTCAACCACTTTTGTCGTACGAACGGCCTCTCCCGCATCGGCTGGTGGGCCCCTCCGGAGGATGTGCTGCCTCTGCCACCACCACAAATAACACCACCCAGTGGGTAGGATGGTGAAACAGCGTTCCCCGTCCTTTCCCAATCAGCACGAAAGGTTTCCGCCACCGGGTGCCTTGTGCCGTTCAGCGTTTCGGCTGAGATGCGCTGGTGTTCGGCTTCCCGCTGCCGTATGCGAGCGTCGAAGTCGAGGCAATGTGTGGTAAAAGCCGTTCTGCGGTTCAACAGCAAGTCATGGTTGAGAAGAGTTCATTGTTAGGCCAGAAAAAACACCCAGGTGCAGAGGCATTGACAGTTGTAGTACCTGCACCAACGAAACGTGAAACCAAGAGCACGCACCACCGACGCCGGTTGCACGAGCCGCCCGCTCCTGTATGTGGATGACTGCGGCTCGGACGGCGGGGATGCCAAGGCATGTATTTCTTACCCTCATCACCTCCTTGGGACTCGTTCTCACTTGTTCCCACAGCAGGTCCAGTATCCGGTCCACTGCAGTTGTTTAGAGATGGCATACTCTGCCGGTATCCAACGTCCCGAATGCTTCAGGGTGTCGCCTGCCACGGAAACGTTCGTTCGCGAGAGATATCCAGCAACCTCGCCCCTGGTCACCCGCCGAGCAAGAGGTTGATTGCGGTTCAACGCAATGAGGCTACAATAATCGATATACTTTCCTTGTTATATGAACAGGACACTGTACCGAAAAAAAAAGGGATGTGGCCGTGGTCATTCCGAAGGTCAGGTGTGCTTGTGCTGCAGCTATGTAGCTGACTGCAGTTTCTTTCGGTGATGTTTCACAGCTTCCTTTCGGACCTACGTGCGCCCGATGCTGAAGAAGGAATCAACCTATTGGCGTTGGAATGCAGTTATGTGGAGTATCAAACCCTGGCAGTTCGCCTGCACGTAGCTTGCCGTTGTCTGGCAACTATTGTACTTTGCTGTTGCAGCGCATACCTTCCCCGCTTGTCTCCGTCGTCCGTCGTATCCTCTGGCGCAGACCTTTCCTTGTCATCATCGGCGCGAATCAGAGCAACGACAACACCCGCCGCTTCCCCCTTCCCGCACGAGATCTCCGTTGTCGCAGTCGGGGCGGGGGGATCTCCGGGTGGGCGTGGTCTTCGGGGCGGCCTCTTCAGAGGCGCAGTGCTATTGTAGTCGTTTTGCTTTTGCTCATCCCCAACCGGCGGGGGTTCTGCAGGACGAGGTCTTCGGCACGTCCGGCGGGACATGTTTGACGCCCCGTTCCTTGTTGCTACGGGAACACCCGCTCTGCAGAAGACGATAGAGAGGTCTCGAGTACATCGAGCGGAGAGAGAACGAGAGAGTGAAAAGGCACGGCGGTCCGGCGGTGAGGTGCGAGCAGGAGAAACGCGGCGTAAGTGGTGCCGGTTCACACCGTCATCATTGTTTGATCAGCGGATGGGTTGATGGTCGCGCCGCGTGTATTCGTAGTGCGGTCGGTGGTCTGTGTGCCCGTTGTGTGGGGGTATAGGGCGTACACACCTCTGACCGAGCGGATGGGCCGTCATGAAGAAGCGACTCACCAAAATTGGCGGCCCTGCTTGCAGCAACGGCAATCAAGATGAAAGTGGGCAGGAGGATGCAGCGCCTCCAACGCGGTCGGTTGGAGCTGCAGCGCCCTCGAGGAGACCCTTCTCGATGAGGGGGTTTTCGTGGAAAGCTGCCCCCCCGTCATCGTCTCCTCCCGAGGTAATTGCTAGGGCAAGACTAGCAAGGACATGTCATGCTTCTGAAAACTGACAGTTGTCATGCTTCCGAAAACTGTACCAAACCTTTCGGTAGACATCGTCTATGCTGGGCGCTTTGCAAACAAACCTCTGCCTCCGAGACGCACGGAATCATCACGTTGAGCCGCGAAGGCTCTGTAAGGTGCGCGCACATGTAGGTGTAGCCGCGTTACCCGATCCTCAACATCGCCAGGACTGATTTACGAGTACCGCACTGTGCACTCAGTCTTTGTCATCAACACGACGTTTGGCGGCGTGTTGTTCTGCGTCTCACGGTCCCTCGCACACCGCATGTACTGAAAGTGCACGTGCAGAACAAAACGTGTTCTTCGAGGGTGAAAAAAATAAGCAAGTCAGATGCTGCGCGTGCTGACATGTGGGTGCCGCCATGATATCTTTCGGGCATCCATTTAAACAACCAATGTTACAAATCGTGTGGGGCACGTGTTCCCGTGCGAAGATTGGACGAGGCCAGTGTGCAGAAGATATGCATGCACGAGACTGATGGCCATACCGGGTGTCTCGATAGAATTTCTTCTCGCGGAAAGGCGAAGACACACGGGTCTAGAGTAAACGAAGTATGAGACAGAAATGTGAAGTGTCGACACACCAATACAAGTATTTTGTCCTGACCAACATAGATGGAAATGTTACCTGCCGCACCACAACACAACACAGTAATACTACCAATCGTTGAGTTTGCATTCCGTAGGCAAGAGCGTTAGCCCCGCACCAAATCGTCTAGCCGGTTGGAACTTTCCATGTCAAGTCAGAAGTAGCACTGATGAATACAACGGTCAGTGCCTGAGCACTTCACATTATCACCGTCCATTTAGGTCATGGGGTCACACCGGGCTTGCTCAAGATTGGAGCTTCCGCCGTTGGTCGACCGTGCGTGCAAAAATAAAAATTCACCGCCATCATTTACTGGTGCCAGAATAACGCGTAACGAAATAACACAACACACGCAAACGCACACAGACAGACCATCCCTTACTGTAGAGATGGTTGTATATTATCCAAGCGACGAAGCGCCAAACTACCGTAAACCTTACCTCCCCCCCCTATCCCAAACGACACACTACTGTAGGGTGTCGGTGAAATATTTACGCGCATGGCGAAGAACCCCATGGCAACCCCTTCTCCCGGACGGCAACGACGGGATGACCAACCCCAGCATACGCCACCCCTTGGCAGCGACAACAGCTGCAACACCTCCCCGTCGCGACCTAGTGCCACCCCTCTTTCGCCAGCCCCAAAGGCGCCTGCTAGACGCTCTGTTCCGGCTGCGGGCACTCGGCGAAAAAGGATCTCGATGAGCTTGAGTCCAAGCTCCATCCGTGCGGTTCTCAAGTCGGCTGGTCAACGCGCGGGAGGCGTGCCGGAACTGGAGCGACCTGCGAGGCCGGAAGAAATCGAATCGGCTGTCGCTACAGCTGATGGTGGGGAGGGCCTCGTTTCGGTAGGTTTGCCAGCAGGATCGTCTCGCGAAAACCGGTCGCCGGCTACGCGAGGCCGGTCGAGGACGCCTCGGCGTGGCCTGAGCGTCGGCAGAGACCTCATGCCTAACTTCCTCCGTGAGTCATCGATGAAGATGAATCCCGCCGGAACAGCCAAGGAAGTCGAACAGGGAACGCCCACTAGGATAGCGGACGGACAGACACCGAGCCCCGCCGTTGCACGCCCTGATTCAGGGGTCAAGCCACAACAGCGGCAAGGGGCAGCGGTAGCAACTCGGAGTCAATCTCAACCCTCAGCGCCACCACCTACGACATTGCGACGGCGCGTGAGCATGAGCCTGAACCCTAGCAACTTGAAGCGGGCTGTGGGTCTCAGATCCGGCCAAGAGAGCACGAAGAAGAGCGACGCCACCAACAGGAGCCCTGACGCACCCGAGTACGAAGAGGAGTTCGTTGGCGTCTCACAACAACAAGCACGGCCCGTGAGACTCCACCCTCGTCCTCGCGCTGTCGCCAAGGCGCAGCGAGGGAGCCCAAGCCTCAACCCCACGGCCGCTCGAGCGGCAGTGTCGGCGGCCATCGCCAAGGGCAACGGTACGGCTGCTAGGGAAAGCGGAGGCAAAGTCAGCAGCGACAAGGGAGCCGGCGGCGGTGGCGCCGGCGGGTTATCGCGAGCGTCCAGCGGACAACCAGCTCTCTCGACGACAGAAACTGCGACAGCACCGAAGATTGTTCCTTTTCCAGCCTCTACCACGCAGCAGCAGCAATGGGCAAGGCAGCGTCGTTCTGCGCGCCGGTCCGCGAGTTTCAGCTTTGGCGCCGGCAGCACCACCGCTTCGCTGCGGTTCCCGAAGACAGGGAGCTCCTCTGACAGCGAAGAGAAGGCCCCTGCTCTTGGGCAAGAGAACGCCGAGAGAGGCCGGCAGAGGGAAGGCGGCGCACGACTCAACCACAACACCTCCACCGAAGCAGCAGCGGGGGGCGGGGGGGCATCACCTCCGAGCGGAGGCGATCGGAGCGCCCGTAGGCACCTGCGGGGGCGCTCCATGTCCCTCGCTCGATTGAACCGAGGATCACTACTTGGGATTTCCCCCCCGTCATCCCCTGCGTCATTGAGAGGCAGCCGGAAAGGTAGTCGGTCTCCCACGTCTGGGGTTGGTGTTGGCGTTGGCGTTGGCGTTAGCGTTGGCGTTGGCGTTGGCGTTGGCGTTGGCGTTGGCAACGGCGGAGGAGGGTTTCGACAACGCTTGAGGAAAAAAGCGGCAGGGGTCGGGGCAGGGGTAGGCGGCGGTGGCAATGGCTTCGACCGGAGAAGATCGCGATCCATTTCACCCCCCAGAGTCGGTGGCAATCACTCTCGCACGATCTCGATGGGATCCGAGCTGCTGCCGCTTGGCCCTGTCGGAAGCTGGGCCGGGGTTGGCGGGGGTGGCGGTGGGTTCGGTGGGGAACATGATGCGAGCGAAGGCCTGCCAAGTATTCTCGATGCTATCCCTGCTTGGAAGCGACCCAGGTTGCTGAAGGGTTTGCAGGAGCGGTGAGCCGCAGCGTAATGTATTCTGCTCAACGTTGCCAGTAATATCTTCGATTTGAAGCACGTGATCCAACCTATGTCGCGTCGTGTGTTGCGGTCCTCGCAGGTTTCCCGCAGAACAATCTATTCCTACTGAAAGCAGATCAACCCACACCATTTCAAGCAACGCGTCCTCGAGCCGCAACAGGTTCACGGCAAAAAAAAAAAAGGCGTTTGTCCACTACGCTTTGATGAGTAGAGCCTTGGCTGAATGTAGCTTCCCCCATTGTCGCTCGTCCGGACTAGGGAAACGGAGTACACCACCGTGGAAGGCGTCGGAGTCTTCATCGGGACGTGGAACGTCAACGCCAAGAAGCCCAACTTCGATGACCCTGTGAGTGTCACCCGCTACTTGGCCAAGAGGCCATCGTGTCTAGAAGCCCTGGCAGTTCTGATTCCTGCTCCAAATGCCCTCTCCTAGTCCTCACTTCCATACAGGAAGCGAAACATGGAGGCCCACGACATTCCTCCCTCTATCTCTTAGCCCGCAGATCGTTTCTTGTCTCCTCAAGTGTCGAAACTAGTGATAGGTGTGGCACCGGTTACCACCGACGCCGCTGGGAGGGATAAGACCGACAACCCAATTGGCTGGCGCGATCTTTTAGGTTCGAGATCCGCCCCACGATTCCCAATATTTCATTGGCGTATGGGGTTTATTGCTGGCCGGAGCTCGGTGGATTTCACCTCAAATGAACTCTGTTTCCCGCCTCTCTCGTCCGACGGCCATGCTCGTCACAAAATCCCACCTCTAAGTTGTGGCTGCACGAGTGGCTTTGCCCCGCGGAGGGTCCAGAGGGCAAAGAGCGTAGCAGCGGGGATGCCTCATCGGCACCACCAGCAGCAGCAAAGGCTGGGAATGCTGAAAGCGTTTGCGCCGAGACCTCTGCCAGTGAGGAAGGCAACGGAATGGAAGACGTATACGCTATCGGGTTCCAGGAGTTGGTCGACCTCAACGCTGTCAACGTTGCTGTCGACATCAAGAGTCAGGCAAGCGAAGAACATCATCTTGATGAAGAAATAAGCGTCTAGAATGTTTGGCACGTGGAGTCATCAACACACAGCACCGGGCATACGCTGGTGCCGGGCGCTGATGCGCAACAAATGACTTGTCCCCAGGTGTTCCGTGAACCCCACCCATCGGGCGAACGGGGAAAGTGTTGCTGTTCTGTTTCGGAGACATCCTCATCAGAAAAAGACACCGAGGCTCACCTCACATGTGAAATCGCCCGTAGGTTGCATCGCCGCCCCGAAAACAAACATGTGCAGACCAACTTCACGAAAAAGAATAGCGATCTCGTGAACGTCCGTGTTTTGTTTTAGTCGCCACGATACGACTCTGCGGGCATTCGAGCTCGATCGTTTCTTTTTTTTTAATGAGCAGAAGCGAAGCGTAGAGTGGGAAGAGCGTGTGCTCTCCTCGCTCAACCTCGCGGCGCTCCATCAGGCCAACAAGAGAAGAAGGAGGGCGAGCGAAACCCCTCTTGTGCCTCGCTCGTCGGCGACGACCGGGGGAGCGCAAGAAAAGGGCGCTTCCGACACGGCCAAGGAGACGGTGCCGCCGGACGGCACGACACAACAGCCCCCCGATTTCCTTAACGACGACGACGTTCTCGACGTGGTATCCGTCGCGAGCCTCGCGGAGACCGACAACGGTCTGCAGCAAGACGAAGGAGTAGAAGTCGGCATATCTCTTCCTCATGCTGCAGCCAGCGACACGGCTACCAGTCCGAGCGCAACAGAGCGGGATAATTTCCACCGCGACGAGCCGTCGAAGTCGCACGGACCGGCTAGCCTCGGCGACGCCGGAGGGGTTAGCGACGAAGGGACGACGTTCGTGCTGGTGGCCAAGGAACACCTGGTCGGGACCTGGCTGGCGGTGTTCGTGCGGGCGTCAATGCTCAAGCAGGTCTCCGACGTGCGCTCGGGTAAGGAAAACAAACACGACGTTTGTTGCTAGGCGCTCAACCTACCCCTTCGATTCTCAACATGGCGCTGTCACGACACCGTTTATGCCGCTTATCAGGAGTTAGTGTGAATCCGTACATAAGTCCAACTTCGTGCCTTTGTCTCTCATTCTTCCGCTGTCTCTGTCTGTCTGTCTGTCTGTCTGTTTGTCTGTCTGTCTGTCTGTCTGTCTGTCTGTCTGTCTGTCTGTCTGTCTGTCTGTCTGTCTGTCTCTGTCTCTGTCTCTGTGTGTGTGTCTCTCTCTCCCTCTCCCTCTCTGTTCGGGTGTCTGTTTTTGCGTCCTAAACTAGCGACCGTTTCCGCGGGCATGATGGGCGTGATGGGCAACAAGGGTGGCGTCGGTATCCGCCTGCGCCTCCGCGACAGCTCTCTGTGCTTTGTTTCGAGCCACTTGGCGGCTCATCGGGAAAACATCAAGGCCAGAAACGAAAACTATCAGAAGGTAGGCCGTAGACTCTCCTTGCACGAGGTGAAGGTGATTTCCCCAGCACACTATGTAAAGTCGCCAAACCTGCAGCGAGGAGTCTTCTCAACCGGGGCCGTTTGCGATGGAGCGGTTGAGATCACCGCCCTCGACTAATAAACTATTTCGCCGTGACGACCGCGACCACAGGCAACTCCTTGAGGGAGGAACGACCCGCAAATGGGCTGGTTGTTTCCGACTCCCCATGCGCAATTTGCGTGATGAGTCATAGGTCCCTACGGCGCACATCCACCCTACCTTCCCCTGTCAACACTGACTTGCTCTGTCCTGCTGATAGATTTTGCGAGAAATGGTGTTCCAGCCTCTGCCGGGGGCGGAGTGGCGTCGGCCACAGCAGCAACCACAGCGGCGAATGAACAGCTTCCGGGGCGGGGGGTCATCACCCCCGACCTCCCCGGGTACCAGGAGACGCCTGAGCGTGACAACTCGGCTGATGAATCCTTTGGGTGGGGGAGGTGCGTCGGCAACCGTGGGAAGGGGACGAGCGTCGGAGTCGGGACCGGGGTCGCTGAACTACCGGAGGAAGTTGAGCGTGGCCGCGCCGTCTCTTTCGGGTATCCTGTCCCCACGGCACAAGCCCAACGGTGATTCATCCTTCGCGTCTACTTCGTCGAAGAGAACGGTTTCTTCTTCCTGCTCTCCGAAGAGAACAGCCGCGCGTGACGGCGATACCGATGCCTCCTGCGGCTGTCTCTCGCTCCCGACGTCTCCGGACTACACCAAGCAGCGGCAGGCTCGACACCAGCAGAGGGTGCAGAGGGGGCGGGCTGCGAGCTTCTGCCGGGAGCTGTCCCCTCTCCAGGACGACGGCAGCCGCGGCCGCCGTGCCAGACCGCGGCGGCGCAACAGCATGTGCATGTCTTGGTCGGGGGCTTCGTTTACCTCCGTCATGCCGTCGGCTTCCTCCTACTCAGCCGCGTCTTGCTGCCCCCCCCCGCCCCCGGCAAAACAAACCCCGCCCATCGGTCAGCGAGAGCTGCAGTCCTTGCCACCGGCTCTCGCTATCACGGTTGCCTCGGCCCCTTCCATCACGGCCGTCGGCGCCGAGTCTACCTCCAGCGCGGTAGCCGCCGCAGATCGTGCCGGACAGCCCCTCGATCGCAATGTCTCAGATGATGACTGGCCGAGTGCTTCGGATGACGGGTCATCGTCGTCAGATTCCGCGGGTGGATCTCCTACGGCCGCAAGTGTCGGGGCCCCGCCGAGTAGCGCGAACAGCGCGTCTGCCATCGCGGCCTTCGAAATGAGGAGACTGAATACGGCGGTTGCGATCGACGACCTCTGTGGGAACGCTACTACAGGCGACGGGCAGACAAAGCCTGTGGTGGTCGGAGGCCACGAGTTCACCGGCGGTGCCGGAGGCGATGGCAGCACTGTTGCAAGTTTGTTGCGCATGGGAGACGGGGAAACCGAAACGCTGCCCTCAGGCGTGTTAGGACGGGGCACGGCGATCGGTGCCGAGGGCGGCTTTGGTGGTGGTGACGGTAGCGCCAGGGTCAGGTCTAATGCGGTGTTGGGCGGAGGAGGGCAGGGCGGACCCACGCAGGTGCTCTTCGTCCCGGAAATAACTACGCACAACACTGGCGAGCACTTGGGGATCCAGGTGAGAACAGGATAAGTGTGTGGCTGTGCTGGTTGTGATCTTTCCAAAGCTTTGGGAAACCAGACATCTCTTGGACGGCACGTTCTCCAAGTGATGACGAGCGCACAATCTCAGAACCCACCCCCTCACTATTATAGTGAAACGGCGGAGTTCAGGACGAGGAAGGGAGGCAATATCAGGAACGCGAGTGGTAGACGGTTTGGGCACGAGACACAATAGCTGCCGGCGTAGTCGGCTCAAAGTTTTTCGCTTTCTCTCAACGCGAGACCATGACCGGGTCAGCACCGTTCGCATTCAGGTCGAACGAGACACAATTTTGCCCCCAAGCCCCCCTTTTCCTGCTCTTGCATGGACTCACTCACTTCCTACAACGGCTTGCCCACGTTCAGGATCACGACGTTGTCTTCTGGTTCGGAGATCTCAACTACAGGATAGAGTCATCCATCGCTGCGCTGGAGGTGCTGGCTCACGCCGTATCAGGTGGGGTGTCCTTCCTCGCCGCCAACGATCAGCTCAACAGCGCCCGGGAGGCGGGCGACGCCTTTAGGGGCTTCCACGAGGGTGAGGAAATTATTTCCGTTGGAGCCTAATTCGTCAACGTCTCGCGATTTTTTTGGTTTGTCCGCGCTACGGTGGTACGTATGGTACAATGTGCCGGGCTTTTGCACCAGCGGAGATGGAAAGAAATCTTGGTACAACGGGAACAGGAGGAAACAACGTATTGTTGTTCATCGCCAGGATGATTTCAGTTTTGTCGTATAGAGCCGCCTGTCCGATGCATGTAGCCCTCCGTATGCAACCTTCGTGTCATCTGGGGTTTGAACGAACGAAGCGCCCTCGACCCTAGGACAAATTGTCCGAAAGTTGTTGAAAATATTTTCAACGGCGTCACTTTTGGTCGTGTAGGCTATCGGCCCGTCGCTGCTTAACACAGTAGCGTCGATAGCCAATACTCCGACCTGAATGTACGGTCCCCAATAGAAATTCAAGCCTTCCCTTCAAGGAGCCCTGTAACCTTCCCGTGGCCACATACGCGCGCGTTCTGCCGTCTGGTGTGTCCTGTACATGTTCAGCGCCGATTGACTTCCCGCCGACGTACAAGTACGCCGCGGGCACCGACGACTACGACACGCGAAACGACAAGAAGGTTCGTGACAGACAAAATCACAGAGGGCCATGAATGAAAAAATCCAGGATTGAGTTAGGTATTCATTCTTATGCTCGTCAACGTTGTGGTGAAGCATCTGATCAACCGGTGCATTGTGATTGGGTAGCCCATGACCGTCGCAGTGCATGCACCGTGACGGTCATGGGGAAACTCGCACATGTCTTGGGGGGATTGCTGCTTACCAGTTTCAGCTTGTGTCTGACGATGACGCGCTTATCATGATCACATGGCGCGTTTTTGTCGGTTCCCTGTTGTTTCAGGGGATCAATTCCATTTGTAGTCATATCCTGCAGAGTTCAGTGGTGTGTCAGGCTAGGCACCACTTTTCTCTCTCACCACCAATCTTTCGTTTACCCGGCTAGGGAACGCGGAAGAAAATTGAGGTGTTGCGGCATTTTTACACACTCTCGTGAAAAGCTACGCGAGGTCGGTCTGTCCGATAGATGGCGTCCACCCGCCGTCAGGGTGAAAGTGATCCAGATAGATGTAGATGCTTCGGCTTCAAGGGTGACGGGTGATGCATCGCGAAATCATCTCACAGACACGCTGCTCGGTCTACGCGTTATAAAGAGTTCGACGTAGTCAGTCTCCCGTCGTCTACGTGAAGGTGTAACGTATTTCTTTCCGTTGATGTTGTGGTTTTTCCGCGCAGTTTCGGGCGCCCGCGTGGTGCGACAGAATTCTGTTCTGGACCTCTGGCGGCGATAACGGGACAGACTCAACTGTGCCGAAGGACGTGAAAACAGTGACAGCAGGATCCGTCCGGCAGCATGCCTACAGGCGATCGGAGACGCCGCTGACTTCTGACCACAAGCCTGTCTCGGCGTCGTTTTGGTTCGGGTGCAAGCAGGCACGTGTGTCGATTTTCTTTGGCGTCAATGTTCTCGTTGTTGTGAACTTTGTTCCTGTTTTTCATTCTTCAGCGGCACAGACTCCGGTAAGAGTCAGGGCGCGCGGAAGGAACACATCAACAAATTGGTGACACCCTACCTCTGCTGTGCGATACTCCCAACGGACGTACACGGACACATTCTAGAATACCCCAGGTGGTACCGATACACACTTGGTCCCTGAAAACGCACATCCAGAACCAGAACCGTTCCGCATACGGGATTCAAGAGATGAAGAAAAATGAGTCCCACCGGTGAGGGTGTGTCAAGTCTACCAGCCCTGAAAAAGAACAACTTGAGACCTCGGATATTCGGCTGTATCGAGCGGGTTGGGAAGTGTTTCTTGTCCGGCTGCTGTCCGTGCCCATCGACACTTTCTAATCCAGTGCTTCCATGCTGTGAAAATGTGTTGTCTTGAAATCTTGGAGAACCTCGGCAGTTAGTTGCAGTTTTCATGCGCAGCCCCCGTCCCAACTAGCTGGTCCGTCTGGTGTGTGTTGTCACCGTCCCGCTCCATCAATCGCTCAAGGTCGACTCAGACATCTATTCCAAGGTTCTCCTGGATGTTGTGAAGAAGGTGACAAGAGCAGCCGGCGACGTGAAACCGCAGGTGAAGTGAACGTTATCAGTTGTTTCTCCTGCCCAATACGTTTTCTACCGTGGGTGGTGAGTGGCGATCGGGGCCGCTCGGTCGGGCCGCAATCTTGACCGCGTTGAGAGCGACAAAGCAAGCGTGCAGGTGTCAAACGGCGAGGGGGGTACCTTCTTGGTTGACGGTAGTCGTTGCTGTTGGCGTCCCGTGGGGCCGTGTGCGCGGCCATCTAAATAGGGCACGGAGCACACGGTTAATAATACAGAGCGTTTCCTGGGCGTCAGTCTTTAGTCGATCTCGTCGATATGTAACTCTAATGTCTTATGCTTGCGGCACACCTTGCTTGTTGTCTCGGGAGCTTCTTTCCTCGCAACACGTCCCGCATTTTTTCCGAGGATGCGTTTGCTGGCCAATCAGGCGGTATCCAGGTGGACAGCATACACCGGGATGGTGGCGAATGATTTATGTCTAATGCACATGTCCCGTTTCGACACTGTTGCCGTACCGTCTTACACAGGTTGATATTGTCGAGGGAGGAAACGCCATGGACTTCGGAGATGTCCAGTACGGGGTGCCGCAAACCCGCTCCGTGTGGATTGCTAACACCGGAAGGTAAGAGTCCGTGTACATGCAGCGTGTTCGCTATATTGAGGAATTTAGTTTTCTTAGGCAAGGGAAGAAGCACGGCCTTGCGTTTGTTCGTAGCACCAGTCAGCGAACGAGGTCTGGGAATCGGATGATCGCCACCAACAGCCTTTCACATCGCCAGAATGCTCTACTACCTTGCGGGTTGTTTCACGAGCTCTTCAATTGACCAAGAATTCGTGTAGCCCTCCCCTTCCCTGTCCTCTGTCCCCAACATTGTTCCAGGTGTTCATCAACGATCTGTTGGAAGTCGTAGAGGCAGTCCGGAAGGGAGTAAAAGTAGGGGACACGGAAACTTTGGTGTCAGGGATGCAGTTTGCGAATGATTTTTTTGGTATGTCGGACACCCCTGAGGGACTGCAACTACAAATTGACGCGGCGAAGAAGTTTACTGATAAGTGGAGATTGTCTGTCAACGTTAAGAAGAGTGCCGTCATGGTGTGTAACGAGGTCAGGGAGGAACCAGTAGAACATAGATGAAAGTGGGGGATCGAGGAGATTGCTGTAGTGGACCAGTACACATACCTCGGACTAGAGATTGCAAAAGACTGCTCGTGGAATGCACACATGTCCAAGGTAGCGGAAAAGGGCAAAGCACGAGCAGGGAAGCTGCACCCAATACTCGCGAACCAGCACCTCGATACACGCACCAAATTGACGGTTTTGAAGACCGTAATCGTACCGCCGCTAGAGTACGCCGGAGAAGTATGGGAAGGAAATAAGACGGTAGTGAAAGAGCTCGAGGCGGCGCAGATGAAAGCAGCGAAAATCATCCTAGGATGCTCCAAGCGCACAAGTAATGCAGCCGTCAGGGCAGAATTGGGGATCCAATCCCTACGGTCGGGAAGAGACGCAAGGAAGCTGACATGGCAGTATCGCATGTTCGGGATGGGAGAGGAGAGGTTGCCGAGAATAGTATGGGAGGCGAAGTGGGCAAACAAAAAGAGGGGTAGACAACCCACGGTATGGGTCAAGGTTGTAGAGGACGTATGGAAAGGGTTAGACATCGACGAAGATGAAACGCTGGAAACGGAGGGTCGACAGGGGTTCAAGGAGAAGATATCTGTTGCTTGTGCCGAGAGAGAAAAACATAATCTAAGGAAAGCAACCAAGGATAAGGAGGGTCTAGAAGTGTACGGAATGTTGAAAGAAGGAATCGGGTTCAAGGATTACCTACATGGACCAATGGGTGCAGGGACAAAGCTTGAGGTCAAATTCAGAACCGGGGACATAGGCCTTCGAGAACGTCGACGAAGACATAGGACGGTAGACGACGAAGACGACAAGTTCAAATGTGATCGCGACTTCGAATGCGAAGACCGTGTTCATGTAGTCGCGGAATGTCTGTGGTACGAAGAGGAGAGGGAAGTGTACATGACTGAGCTGGGAAGAATACAAGCGAGGTAAAGGGAGATGTTTGAGGCATGGAATAGAGGGGAGAGGACGGGTAGCTGTACTGGGGAGTAGGAAGTGGTTTGAAAAGGCGGGAAGGGATATCGTTAGGATAGACAGACTAGGGAAGGCATTTTTGAGCCACCGTTGGGAAAGTAGGAAGGAACGATTGTCCATCGGTGATCGGTCCTGTGGGAACAATGCTCCGTCCTCTCGAGGACGCGTAGTCAATGGTCTAACCGCGAAGGCATGCCAAAACATGAGAGTACGCCCCCCCCCCCCCCCCTCCTTCCCTGTCCTCCCACTCTCCACTGACGACAGAGTCCCCGCAACCTTTAGCGTGCATTCCTCCCAGCACCCCGTCCCGAAAAATTCGAGCCCTGACCGGCCGAGATCCCCCCTCGGCAGCGACGACCTACGCAACCTGGAGGCAAAAAAAGACCACAACGAGTCCGACACGGAAGAAGGCAAGGGTATTGACGACTTGTTCGGCCCGGCGTCGTCCTGCTCACCAAATGAAACCGGGGAGGGAGGAGGGGGAGCGGCAAGTGGAGGGAGAAAGCAGGATGACAACAGCGGTGGCAAGGAAATCCTATCCGATGAGGGTGGGAAGGAGCAGGAGGAGGTGGGCGAGGGAGCTTTCTCTCCCGCAAGCGGGAGCGGGGGCGAGGTAACGCCGGCCCCAGCGGCAGTGGAGGACACTAGCAAGTGGTGCTCGGTTTCCCCGGAGCAAGGCGTTTTGCTTCCGGGAGAGAGGCTCGAAGTAAAGTTCACGCTACTGGTGAGCACAGCTTGTTCAAATGTTGGCAGATGGTCCGCGCGAGAAGTAAGCGTCTATATATCTGTAGCAATCGTGGCGACGCCGACGTGAAGAGAGGGAATCGTCGTCGACAATCGTTGGGAGATTGCAGCCTTCATGAAGGCGATCTCCCAACGTATCGTAGAAAAGGTTGCCGGCATAGACTGGGGAGATGGAGGGGTCGGATATACGGGCGAGCTATGGAGACGACACCGCTCTCACGGATGGATATTGTTTATAGAGAGCATCGATACTTTTGAAATGCAGTCGTTTGTGCTGGCGTCGTGGCTCGTTCTGCACCCCTTGGGCAGGTCTTCGGCTTGGCCGGCCGCGCCTTGGCCACCGGACGGATGTCTAGCATCCTTGACGACATCCACGTTCTCAGAGTTGAGCGAGGCAGTGACAGGTAAGTGTCCCCGACAATGTTCAGCAGGTAGAAACGCACCAATCAGGAGCTGCGGGCTCTTGCGACTGTACCTGCCCAACAGCCTGCGGGTGTGTTGAGTCCGTCGGCTGAGCGAAGTGCCGACTCGATAATTCTCTGCTGCCGCCTTGTGTGGAATGTTCAATACGCGCGTCTTACTGTTGACAATATGCCCGAATGTCTACGTCTGTTATTTTTTCTAAAACTGACCGTGTATGCCACCGAAGCCTAGCACAGCCCGTAGATGTTGACTAAGTTTGTGATGTTTGAGCCCTCTTTCACCCGCGCAAGAAGCAAGATCCCTTATTTCAGAGCGGTCCCGTCTTCAGGTATATCGCTGTGAGCGGGAACTACGAGGCGTCCGTCTACGGGAGTACCCTCCCGGCCATGATGTCCCCCAAACCAATCTCAGCGACGCTGAACAGTTCAACCGACGCCGCAAGCAACGTAGCGCGCGGGGGCGGGCTTTATGAGGGCCGCCGCATAGGGACGGGGGACGACGAGGGTGCACGGCGGCACGAGGGGACGGCAGCGGGGGCCATCAGTGGTTCCGTCACGGTTCCTCTGGTGGATGCTGACGCTGGCAGAGAAGACGGAGCGGGAGCTCGTATGTCCTCCGGGCAGGTAGGTTTGGCGTGAAGTATGGTCTTGAACCCCTTGCAGTGAACTGCTGTTGTGACCACCTGAAAGTTGCGCAGGTTGGAGAAACGTGTCAATCTATACATTGTGCGTCACTTTCACGGCAATGCCTGCTTAGAAGAACTATATTACGTCGTGAAACAAGAAAGGTTACCAGGCCACTGACTGTACTTGAGGCCGATTGGGAGGTGTTCTGGATATCAGTTTAGACGTTGGTGACCCGATGGTTCAATGAAAGCACGGACAGGTGGCAACCACCTATTTGGCGCCGACTATGTCCATGATCTGGGGGGTGTTGTAGTCTTGGCCCTCGTATTTTTCTAATGCACCGCCTTCCTTGGTTCGGGGTATTGTTGGGCATAACTGTCGGGCTTGGCGAGGCCTCTTGCCACGGCCGGAGGACGTCGCCCGTAGTGGCTCTCAATAATTAACGGTTTTGAAGAATACGAATTTTCTTAAAGCTTCGGGAGCGAGGCAGACAAGTTATCGCATTTCCGCAAAGCCACCAATATGGCCGTTTCCCGATGGAGTTGCGCTAGATGTGACGAGTTAGGATCTGTCCCGCGGTAATGATCTACGGCAAGGGGTTAGGGTAGGCTACAACATGTACTTAACAATACTGCTCGAAACGAATGAGCATTTCATGGAACATCGCAACGCCTCTTCCTACAGCTACAATACCAACTGCATCGAAACCTAGCTTGAGGCCCAAGCGGCAGCACCACAATCGATCCCACGCTAGGGGAAGGAACGAAGGTCGTAGCGAGCATTATCCCCGAGCACTGTGTGCTCCTTTTCCCCACCAGGTCATACGTTGCGGTGCCATGTTTCGCTTGCCATCTCGCAGAAGACAGTACGGATTCCACGCCAGGTCTGGAGGATGGTGGACGCTCTGTTGAAGGATTCTCACTATGATCAACCCGGGTTACTTGTGGACAAGGGCAACGAGCAAGAAATTCTGGGAATCCGAGCTGCGGTGAACGCCGGGGCTGAGTTTCCACCACATTGCGCGAACTCCATGGTCGAGGCAAGTTTATTTCGAGAGGGATTTCATAATACCGCGTTCTTCTACGGTAGGCTCTTGCCAATGACGTCGAGAGCCACCAGGTGGACGACGAAGCGCCCCAAGACGACGGCGTCGGTCGGTTGTTGACCGAAAGAGGAGCACCTTCCCCAAAATTGAACCAAGGTCTGGGTGAAACGCCGCACAAAATGCTTCGTATACTTGAGACTCCCGCCGATTAGCTCTACACGTTCCGCACTGCTGCCGCATCGCACCCAAACAGGCGTTGGTAACCCTGCTGGGAAGTCTTTCGTCTTCGGTCATCCCCGAAAGCGCGTGGGCGGCCGTCTCGGAGGCAGTGGCAGAGCTCGATGCCGAAGAGAGAGCAAGCGCGTTGATGGGCGGTATGCCGACGTTGAACCGAGACGTCTTCGAGTACCTCAGTAGGTGCGCAAGTAGTTTACTATTTCGACGAACCTGAACGGCCATGGGTTGTACTTGGCTTTCAGCCAGCAGACTGTCGGCGTTGCCCTTGCCCGAATGCTGGCGTGTTGCAGCAGTCGGCGTTAGAAAGGGAGATAAACTTGGTGTTCAGAGTGTATCTAATCCCGTGCTTTCCCCAGACAGACTTGCTTGTGCTGCAAAAAACCGCGCGGAGATATCTTGCAGTCCACCTTGTTTTCTGCGCCATCAATCGACTTTGGTGTCGTGTTCTGCCGGCTGATGTCACGAAGCCGTCAGTCAAGGCACGATCCACCAAACCTACTTCTCGCCCCCCCCATCTCAAGCAAACTGACCTCCGTTCGTGCTTGTATGTTGCAGCTTTTTCAAGTTCTTACTATCGCGTGGCGACAACAATGGACTCACCGCGGAGGAAATAGTCTCGGTACAACGCTCCTGCCTGTTGCCTGACGCGTGGCGCCCTGCTCGCTTTAGGAGCGCGGGAACACCGCCATTAGATGGGCGTCATTCTCAAGGGTCGATGGGCGAGGATGATGAGGGTGGGGATAGGGGAGTTCGGGGGCAACACCCGACCAGCAACCGAGATGATTGCCAGCACCACAATGCGAAGGCAGGAGGCGGGAAGCATGCGGAGATAGGGGTGGCACAGGACAGGAAAGGAACCTCTTGCGGCGTTAGTGGCGTCAGCGGACAAGATATTACTACTGGCGAATTAGATGTGTTAGGTCCCGTGCTGCATCATATTCTGATGGGCGAGCGTTGAGTCGGGCCTGCGCACGTTCTTGTCGAGAAGAGTACATGGAAACCCGCGGAAGGACAAGATTCTGTCTCACGTGTATCTTACAAGAAGACGACGATGTATCTTCTGTGGCCGTCCACGGGATCAGCCTGTATGATGAGTTCCCGAGCATTGTGTTCTTTCCATGGCCACAGTCGTACGAGATTCATCATGCGAAACCACTTTAGTCTAGACCGGTTTCACGTACGAATCTCCAGCCCCCATGGCGTAATCTATGGCTCGTAGTAGTAGCAGGGCAGAGTCCCCATCAGTATGCAAAAGTGGAATACCCAAGCACCGTACAATAAAAACACAAAAAAATGTAGCCAGTCCTCTGCGTGAGAGGCGGTCGGCGTCCAGCGTGTCACTTGTAGCAATATTTCCCAGTGCACTATGACGGTCTCCCCACTTCGCAGTGCGCTCTGTCGCCCTCCCATCTCTCGGCATGCCCCATATGTGATGATATTTTTTCCTCTACTGAAGAATGCCGCGGACTAAACACTAGCGAAATGCGTTGATGGTTTAGTATTGTATTCACGTACACTATTGTTTCTGTCCTCTACCCTGTCCGCCGTCTTCAAGGAAAAAGTAGGGGTTTCTTCTCCAAGCATGAATCCAAGGACACTCCCACCACTTGCGGATTCCTCACGCTCATTAGCAAGTCCACACAGACCTGAAGCAAATGGGACGAGAGTATGTTTCGCGACTAGCTCCTTGGGGCCATTCAGTTGGATTTCACCGGCAAGCACGTGCCCCGATGAAGCTTGACACCCCCCGATCACGACCACCTCCAAGAAAAACGGAGGGTGGGCACCGCACAAACCAAAGTCGACTGTCTTAGTATTTCGTGTTCTTTTTCCTCGAACATATTCTGGACAGCTATCGTCCCTCAGATACTAACGAATTAATATACGGGCGAAATGCGAAATCATTTGTCGGTATCTGAGGCCATCATTGGCGTTTCATCTTGCCAATCTTGCAACATCAGCGGCGGAGGAGCGTACGGTTAATACACTGTGTTCCCCATTTCTCGCGTAGAAGGAGGAAATGGTCTACAAAACTTTCTTCGAAAAATACTACACTATCCCTTAAATACCATGATCAAAACCCAGTGATCAAACCCGCCCGTCGAACTCCGAGGTCTTTCTACATAGTTTTCGGGCAAAACAACGCCCCATACCTAACGAGGACGGGGGACAACTGGTACCACGCTCCCGTCCGCCTGAACAAGAACTTTCCAGCGATGTCCACAAAAAGAACACATACGATTATCACAACTAAAAACTCTGTTTCTACGTGGACCACATGCTTGTGAGGACGTTGCGAAAGCGATATACCCTGATTAGGGCACTAGAAATACTAACGCCAACGCAACACCTCAAGGGTGTCAAGGGTCACCCCGTGGGGGGAACGTCATACCGGTCTTGCTACAGGCTCACGAACCCTACGTGATTTGGCGTCCGATACTTGCAACGTCGACAAGACCAGAAACAATGAGATCACCTTCGTACGATACCATCGATAACCACTCTAACGCTTCCGGGACAGAGGCAACGACTAGGTACCTCCCCAGGAACATACAACATGGTTCATTCTGCAAACTTCTGTTGACACACACGATGCGGGTGATACAACGGAGGGTCTTCAACGGTGACTTTCGGCGGCGTCGGCCTGGCGTTTGGCCTCCATAAGGTCGCTTGGACACGAGGGGCAGCATGGATCGATTTGGTGTCGAAAGAAGGTACGCAACGCGCGCGCGGCGTTCGTCGGCATCGGAGGGGGGGGTGTTTTTGTGAAGGCTTGCCTCGGTCGGGGTGTGCACGGTTGGGAGTTTCAATGTTACAGCAGTGGTGCACGAGTTCCGCTTGAAGTCGAACGAAGTGAGCCGTTCGGTCGATGTTCTAGGGAAGGGGAACAGCTAGATGAAGAGGTCGGTGCACGATGGCGTTATAAGTCACTTTGACTAGCAGCACATGACAAGGCAAAAGGCGTTTCGAGCGACCTATTCCATAATATGGGCAATTTGTTATGGGAGGTAACTGTTCAACGAGGAGGTGAGCACGCGAAGCATTCCGTTTGTCGTTCAAAGTCTCAAATATCGCCACTTCATCATGCATGGGAACGAACAGGTCGAAAAAATGAAATCTTGCTTCCATTCTATCGAATGTCTTTTACGGAACTCGCAACTTTCATTTTCCTATGGCCAAAAAGAATATTCGATAGAACTCTTCACACACAAAGAGGACGAACACACGCACAACGTTTCGTCCCAAAAGAATGAGATTTTTTTGTTTCTTGCCCTATATAGCAACAAGGTCGATCGAGAAGCTTAGAAAATACTCCTAAGCCTTGAGCACCCTGAAACGGAGCCAGTACACAAGAACCTATAGAAGCAGCAACACTATGAAAGAGCACCCAAGCTGCTCCACTCAACCTTCGTTCTCACCGCGCGAGGCTGACGACTTCATCGACGTTCGGTTCGTACCAAGAATCACAAGGGTCGTCCCCTGGGTCGCTTCCGGTGTGTCGGGCGTAAATGTGCTGCAGCTGTCATCAAAGGCAAGGGCAGCAAAGCGTTTTGGGCCGGGCTGAGAAAAGTTCAGGTACTACTGCGTTCTCTCGCAATGAACCAGACTCTATTTTTCCGTGCTCAATACCCAAACGATGGACCTTCTCCTTTTTTCCACACTCTTAACGCCACACGCGAGGCTCGCGCGAAGGAAAGTTTTCGATTTCGGAGGATTGTTGTCGCAAGCCACGTTTGTAGTGCTCTCTCTTCCAATGAGAGCCGGGAGACTACGCAGGCACCTTCCAGCATTCTGTACGACGCGTACCATCAAAGGCGACAGAGATCAACGCCGTAGCACGTCTTTGTGGTACAAGTATGGCATTAGAACCAACCGCAGAGAAAGTGACACTATTTCGCGTGAGGAGTATTCACGATTCAATGGCACCATGAAGCAACCACGAAGCATGGAATCGCTGAATCAAACGCAACCTGGATTACGTACGCCGAAATACGTACAATTTGTAGATCTCGATCGTTTGAAGCCAAGTCAGAAACTTGTCTTGGCTGGTTTGTTTGGCGATTTCAATGCAGAATACGGAATAGATAGACGAGACTTTGACATTATAGTTATTGAAGACTGACTCGCAGGCTGTCGCGCGATCCTCTATGAAATCTTCTGGGCTTAGACTATTTGTTGTTGGTTTCTGCGTTTGGAGGCAGCTCTGCGCTATACCTGCAAACACCCGGACGATCGTGGTCTTGGCCGTTTGCCCCAAGCAGACAAACAAAAACCCCGGACCACAAGAAAACTGGCCAATCATGCGTAGCACGACGCCCACGTATACCACAGTCTCAAACCACCGCCAACCTTTATTGCGAGGTTTACATAGCACGCTGGGCAGTCGATGGGACCAATCTCGAGGATCATGGTGTGTAGTGGCGACACCACCATGTTCGACAGCCCGGCGCCGTGAGGGCCCACTATCATGGACGCCGTAGCGAACATCCCCAGCTGTGCCCGGATATGCTCTACGCCGTTGAATTCCACCACGTCAAAGTCCGGGAAGTTCTGGGCAAGCGCCTCTCGAACCTTGCAGTGAGCAGGTTTTCCGGAAGGACAAGGTAGATCATTAGGGATATACGTAGCTTCAGGGCTCTGCTTTCAATATCACCCTTGTGGAAGACTACGCCAAGACTACCCTCGACACATTCAATAACGACCGATCGAATGTGGAAACCATAACATGCCGACGTTCCGAGCCGAAATGGGCGGTCTTTTCACGACGAGCTTCTGTTTCGACCAACTATGCCTTACGGCAATACGCAGCGGACTTTCCCCCCGCAGAACACAAACGCCACCGCCTACCACTCGGCTACGGCACACCACACTTCATCACACAGGTGGGTCTACACGACGAACGATCTCCACGTGCTCTTTCCCCACCCGCCCAGACAAGTGTGCGATGCGTCAGCCATGTAGTCCAAGCACTCTTGGCAGTGTGACACAAGAACCATTCGGGGTAACTTGCGCACCTCGGCGTTGTTTTGGAGGCCCCGTTTCTTCACTCGCACGACTAGCACGATGACGGGCCGAGGAGGAACAGGGGGTACGCCCCCAGTGTGCGGGTACATCCCCTGGAGAAACATTCCGCGTCGACAGGTCACGGGTCGGCATGGACTGAGAGGGTCGATCCGTGTGCATGCCATGGTAAGGGTCCTGACGTGAAAAATCCTCGTTCAGCAAGAAGACACCATTTGACCCGTGCCTTTTGAGTGACATCGCATGAAGCAGGAGAGCTGGCCGAATGGAAACAAGGCCTTTCCTGAACCATCGCTGAGACACAGATTTCGCCAACACTTGCGGTTGACATATAACGTTGCTTTGTCCCCTTCGTGTGACTGCAGTACATCCAAAACACTCGAGCATGCCGATGTTGCGTGCATTATTGGTACCGCCCCATGGGAAAGTAGTCTCACCGGACGTCCCACGAGTTGAACCCGTGGGAAGTTCTCCAAATTGAACTCAATCGATGACCACGGGGCGGAAAGCATGGCCAATGGGCCGCCAATCACCGCAAAACTACAACCCGTGATGGCGCATAGGACGTTTCCTCCCAATCCGGCGACCATGAATCGCCATGAACCGTCCTGAACGAATCGCCACGAGTCATAATTGACTGCTCATTGGACCGCCCAAGAGCCAGCCATGGGTGGGCCAGCCATGGGTGGGCTACCCATGGGTCGCTATGATGGCTCGATTAGGTTGATGTGCTCTATTTGTCTTTGTATTTCTTCGATGCCAAATGGACGGTACGGATTGTCATTGACATTGGACACCGAGCGCGCGCCGTGAATATCTTTTGCCAACGGCCCCCGTCGCCTCACGGTCGACCCAAAAGGCCGCAGACGCCTACGGGTGGCCCATACGTGGAAAGTAAGCAGCCCACGGGGCATCCGACAATGCGTCCAATGAGCGACTAACAGACGTCCTACGGGCGGGATTTGGGCTGCTCATATCCAACATAACACCCCATTAGTGACCCAAGGGCCGTCGCGTGTGTAATTGAGGACCACATCTCCCCACTAGTACGTACCTGCAGCAAGTGGTGCCTCAGCAGATTGACCATTGCCGCGTTGGGCTTGCCGCACACCGTCGAAGGCGGCACGATCGCTAGATCCGCATGAATCTGACAGAAAACGTTAGCCGACGAGCGAAACGAGAACACACAACCGATGTCTATTGCGGCGTGCATTTACGGTTCACATCCGTAAGCAGATGCATGACGGATATGCTGTTTTCCAAGGCCAAGCCGACGGCTATTATAAAGTCCCAAGTGACACCTGTGGCATACCCTCCAACACGACCTTCTCCATGCCGTGCGGTACCGGTGCGGGTGAAAGAAATGCCCTAGCACACAGCATGCTAGCAAGCACATCTGGGCAGTACACGGTCACGAACCAGCTTGTTCGAACAAAGCAGCGTCGTACTCGGCGTTTGAACTACTTCATCGCGTCACACGCGCCGCCATTCAAGCATGGAATATTTCCCCACAGCAAGGGCGCAAGACTTGGAGCGTTTCCCCCCGAAAATCTTCCAGAAGCAGATTTAATACTGACCGGCTTCGGAATGTTGCATGTATGCATATACAAACTGCTGTATCTATTTTCTTCCCACCGTCGGGAAAACTGAAAAGGAAATATCAACTCCGATTTTCTCATCCAACGATTACGGGCAGGACGTTCGCCAATCGTCCCCATGGCCCCATGCAACGTGTACAAACGGAGCCCCTGCCTTGAGCGAGAACGGCCGAAGGCCAAGCACACCACCCACCATGCTGACAAACAGGATGCGATCGCTTTCGATGCCGACCAGCTCCAAGAGCTCGCGCATGTACTTCTGGTGGGCTGCAGCTGGTGTGTTATGCAACGCAACCTTCGTAAGCCATCGGGGACGACGACATGGTCAGGTTAGAATGTGCGAGATCGCCAAGTGAAAGCAGACGTGCTAGAGAGGGGCATCCCTACGCGACTTAACGAAGCACGCTATCTGAATGCTTCCCTTTTTTTATCTCCACGCAACGTACTCGAACGCAGGGCGCAAGCAGGAGGGAGAGTAGGGACCATGTCAAAAAATCGTACTCACACGATGATAGATCCACAAGGAGCTAATAGCTGGTCCTACCAAGGAAGCGAAGAAAAACTGCACCTTGACGTCAGGGTTTTCCATTAGCACGTCCTTCACGACGGTAATCCGCGATAAGTTCTCCACAAGGAGGTGGTAGTACGCTTGGCCATACTCCTGTGCCAGCACAACCACCTAGTGAACAAATGAAGAGGATCAAAACGAGGGGGGGCATAGCGCACAATTAACTGTTTGTAACCTCTAGTGAACAGTTACAAAACGAGGCAGACATTGTGTAGAACTACAGTGTGTATTCAAGAATCGTTCCTCAGCTGTGGGCCCTGTGCCGAATCCTTTTGTGAAACAGCGTGCGCTCGATGTCGGACTCAGAAATCACCCTTAAAAGTACAATCCAATGTATGTAATAGCTTCGGGTTTCTGTGTCATTGGAGACGTGCTTTTCCATCCAAGGATGTAGAGAGCTCTCGCAACACGACCTCGAAAACTCGAACGGAGCGGCAGTTGGGCAAACGGGAAAGTATGAGATGGCTATTCACAAGAAGAAATCCACGCCTTTTCCGGTCGACTTCGCCTGGTTCTAGCTGCGTAAGCCATACGGCAGCAACAACCATTGAAAGCAACAACAAACCTCCCGCAAACATAGAACCCTTCAAGGTGTGAACGGGTTATGCCCCTGCCCTTGCATGGGTTCGAGATGTTTGCTTGCAATACTCGGTACTTCCAGGACGCCTTCGGACCCTCTCAGCATTCGTCTAAAAGGTTTCCACACGCATGCGGGTACCCACTCGGCACACCCCAATACAGTCTTGGTATGATGGCATCCATGAAGCCTCTTGTATCCATCAGGTGCAAGTCACGGCATGGATAGGAAGTCCTTGGGTTTCACCACAAGGTCGTCCGGTCTCAAACGAGGAATACGCCGCATGCAAATAACTACCCTCTTGAAGTCTGTACCTTTTCGAAGCTCTCTGTGTCAGGCCGGTGTCTCGTGTTCGTGAGCGACGCCTTCTCGGTCGAACGGCAGGAGTTGGGCGCCACGAAAACCTGCGAATATAGGACGGGGGTGGCACCCTCGAGGACTGATGCTGCATGGGAAGCTTACTCTCGCTGGACATTATCTCTCTGCTCGAGCCGAACCTGCGGTGACGGACCTTTCAACTCCGAAAACAGAGCAATGCAGTAGAACGGAAACCTACAAGAGCCCCTTTTATCCTCCCGCCTATGCCCGACCCTCTTCATGTGGAACCTGCTCTCGCTGAGATATCTGACCCACCCTACACGAAAAACAGATGCATACGCGTATCTATGAGCGCCTTGCCTTATCGTTCCAGAAATACCCGTCTCTGTTGATGAACACATCCGCCATGCTCACGACCGCTGAGACGCTCTCGTACCCGTCGCTCGCGAGTTTTTCCTCCGCAGGCCCGGTGGCGTAGGATGCGCTCAAATACCTGTCGGCAAAACGAGGTGCATGGTGAAGAGTTCCCTTCGGAAAAATCGAGGTGCGCGGCGAAGCGTTTCCTTGAGGGAATATTTTGCAAGAGACCAAGATTGGAGATCGGTGTCTTTCAGCGCAAGATCTGGTCGGCAAGCAGGCACTTCTGTTCATCCTTTCCCGGCGCTAGTTGAATTTGGTCACCGTGTCCAAACCAACTTGGCTCTGCTAAGACCGGGTGTGTTTGCGTTCACCACGTGTCGGTTTCCGACGGTGCGACGAAAACGACGCGGCGTACATACTCCGTCCAGAAGATGCTGCCTATGACTCTTGCTACAGCCAACTAGCGCAAAGCGTCGGTATTGCTTGTGTCAAAAGACGCCTCACGATGAGTGAGGGTTGGACGGTTGATGCCTGCATACGCAATGGGCAGTCGAAGGAGTCTCTCACTTTGCCGCGGAATCGTCCCCCTCCTCGACGGCATCCAGGAATCGTTGCAGCATGGGTAGTTCCTCGAGGCCCTCTTGTGTCTCAACCCTCATGCTGAGGAGCCACGAAACCATGGGACGTACATAGGCACAAAAAAAAAAAAGCTGTTAGGAACGGGGGGGTTAGAATACGACTGTTGTACAACATATTTTTAGAATATTTTTGACGCTTTGTGCACTTTGCGGTGGTGTGTGTTTCGGTTGTCGTTGCTACTGTAGCACTGCGACGGAGGTTTTGCACTACCACCCCACAAGTAGTGTGTGCGCGGTTCGTATGGTCTTACCTTGAGAACAGAGAGTCCCTGAAGATTGGGAAGTACGACTGCAGCGTCTTGACGTAGTCCAAGCTGTTCACTGGCGACAGCAGGGGGGTCGGCGAGGAACCCGCGTCGATAAGCTCCGGGCGCCTAACGACCGCAGCCCCGTCAACACGCGACATCTCTTCGCCAATATCCATCCATTCTTCGTGAATTCGATTCCCCTGCACATGGACGATGACCACCAGCAAACGCGGTGCGTGCGTATAGAGAACGTGGAAAGTTCCAGCGAAATACCGCCTTCAGTATCGCACGACGCACTCGATACGTTCTCGTTGAATGCGGCGTCCTCAACAGTTAAGCTTTTCACTCCCCGCCTTCTTTGACATCCGCCGCACACCCGAGAAGTGTCAAGTTGACGAGAAACCATCTCATCCTGAGGGCCTGAAACACACGAAACGGTCACAGGGTTGGCAATAACCAAACACGACGGAACAAGAAACGCGGGTGGGTACTAACCTCTACACAGGGTGGGCTCGAGCACAGGGGGTGCTTGGCCGCCTCCGCTAGCACGGCCCACACGCTCTCCGCTCGTCTTCGTTGCGGTTGATGGCCCATCTGCCCTGGAGTATCTTGCGCTTCCGCCACCGCAAATCCATTGCATGGCACGTGCCCGCGCTGCGAGGCGAGAAGGAACACAACAAGGGTCCCCCGAGACTGTGCGGGGTGTTCGAGAGCGTTCGGAGGGGCAAGGGGGTGACAGAGGGATTTTGGCTGGAGTTGGGGGTCAAAAGGTAATTAGATTCCCGAAAATTGTTTAGGGGATTCGGTTCCTCCTTCAATAATGCCCAATTCGTTTATTTACGCGTCATACACATTCACATGGGAAAGAGCCTCCAGCCCGAAAGCACCGGGTGTTCCCTGTAAATACCCTGTTCTGTAGGTCCTAGATGGATTGTTTCGCTACACGAAAAACAGCGCATGAAAAATGCAACAGCCTCCATTTGGCGTAGCGCTTCTGACTATGCAAAACATGAAAACACGGCTTCAATGACAATAGCACACGATCGGCCGCCAAACACAGCTGTAGCTGCCACACAAAAGGGGGCGTATAATTTTTCAAGTGGAAATGATGGCGAAAGGCCATCGATTCGTGATCATCAAGAATCCACTGCGTTTTACGTCTACGAAAGCAGCACCGAGTGATGTTACCGACGTCATGGAGAGCCTAATGGTTAGAACTTTCGCGTTTGTTCCGCCTTGAATGCGGTCCTTTCATTGTTTAGGGGGTAAGCGCGATTGTTGCTCGGACCACGGCCAGCTAGCAGGAGCTACAAGTGGCACGTGGCCTGGCTCTCTTCCACCTTTACCCTTACCGCTCGTTTATGTTTTGACCACGCTCTCTCTCTCGAACCCGTGATGTTGATTGCCAGTGTCATTCTTGCCTCACACGGCGTGTAGAAGGCGAGCGGGGGCTCTAAACTATCTGCCGTTGATTTCTATTAGCTTGCGGACCCTTCGGATCCGTTCTATTTCCGCATACCTTTTTCAGGGTTAGTTGGCGTGTGACCGCGGGAGTCGACGCGTCAAGTGTTGGATCAGTACGGACAGCTGGAGGTACTGTATAGAGAGATCGGAACGGGTCTTTATGTGAAAAAAACAACAACAACAATCACGGCGGCACGAGTACGCACCAATACCAATGAAAGACACGGTGGTCATCACGACGATGTACTCATGTAGTCTACCTCACAGGGGATTATCAGTGGCATCGAGGAGGGGAGCGACACGATCGCCTGTTCCCTGCTATCCACACAAAGGTACGGTAGTTGATTCCGTAGCATTCCTATCCAACATAGGTACCGGTACCTGACAAATCTGTTCGTCATCATCCTCTCCGTATCGCCTGTGAAACTGAGGAGCTAGGGTTACATTTATCGTTCCGTCGATTTCCGAGACTTAACTAAACCTTTCGGTGATCGTAGGACGCCCAGCCGGTGTCAGGCAGACAGGAGGAATTCTCCACATTTCCTCTTGCGAAGCATTCCTTCACTTGTAGCGGCAGAGTCATTCAGCAGCCCACGACTATTGTTGTGTGCATTCACTCACAATGCCCGTTTCACTCCGAAATTTTGAGATGGTTCATTCTGGAGAGGGTTCCTACCAACGCCGTAAAGGTTTCTCCTCTACAGAGTTGCCAATTGATCCACTCCGCCACTGATGTTGTGCGAATCGTTATTAGTGTTTCACACCAACCTTGCATGCCGCATTTCCATGAGTATCAGGTTCTGACAATCGGGGCGCATGTGACAGATCGAAATCATCCAAGTCGGCGCCTGCCCTGAGGACACCTACACACCACGCTCTATCTTCGGCCTCGGCCGCCCTATCCGAAGAGTGAAATCAAGCACAAGTGTGATGCGAAGGTCTAGCCATGTCGAGATCCTTCGGTAATATCAAACCCTCGGCAACCATGTACGTAGTGAAAGAAGAACGCAGCGCCCGGGAAGAACGCAGCGCGCGGGACCTGAGCGATTTCCATTCCGTGGACAGGTACAAAAGGAACCATGAGCAGTCATCCGATGCCGTGGTCAATCCAGCATTCATTCTAATGTGGCCCCGCGTCAGTCAACGGCGCCGGGGAATTCACGAGTGATGAGCTTCCGGCGGTAGCACGTCGGGCTGGACCGCTTTGGAAAGCATACCGCAGGTGTTTGCTGAAAAATAGACAGCCTGATATATGCGAGAGGTGGAGCACGCTGCTGAGTGTGACGCCACCCGGTCACTGAGAAATTTGATTTCGTTGATGACGTCGTTGTTGCTGGCTGATTCCAAGGCCAGATTTTGATGGTAGAAGATGGGAGTGAGAGAGAGACAGAGAGACAGGCGTGCTGGCCAGCCCTCGATCACTGGAAAAAATATATCAACTGTCGTCGGGGACCCCGAGGCAACCGGCTATGTATGTTGGGGGTTCCCGAGGACTTTTCTGACCGTTCGCTGACGATCCCGTACGGACCTATGTACAATGAAATGAACTGCGCGTCTGCAGCTACCGGTACAGTGTACAGACCGAATAATGCGCTCATCATGCTATCCTACTGCTGTAATTTTTCAATTTTGCTAAAGCGAACACGAAAGGGATAGACCTGACCGTGTCAAGCTTGCCGCATCGTCTTTCCGGGCCAGGCGCGACCACCGCAGACGAAGCTAGAGGTCGCCCTTGGCTTGCCGCCTGCCACATCATCCAATTTATGCAATTTTGCTCTTCGTGGGAAGATTTTCATTCCGGCGATGGGTATTCCCCCTGCTGATAGTGAGGCATTCGGCACCTTACATGCAAGTTGCGAGGCCACTGAATGCGCTGAAGTCGCCCCGAGATGGCGGCACATGTTTTGGAACAAAACATTAACACCGTCTGTGAGTTCTTTTCTTCGGTCGGTTGGAGGTGCGGGATGAGCTGTGTGTGCTTCATTGGTTGAGTGCATTCGATGAATTCTACTGTACTTTTTGAGGGATACTACAGTACAATGTACACGTAGGAAACCGACTACCACCGTAGCAAAGGCAACTTGACACATTGATCATAGTTGTTCGCGTCGACCGTCTACTACGACACACGTAAAAGGACTCCAGTATGTAAAGTTTTATCCGTGTCAATTCTCTCAAAGTGATGACTACATATTGCCTTTTTTGTATCCGGGCCTGTGTAGTGCCCCAATTGATACCTACCGGCACCCCAAGTGTGGCCCAGAGGGTATTGGTACCTTGCGGAGGCACGCAAATTCACGTCGATCTATAGAGGGTTTTTATGTGTCGGTGATACCGCACCGGGTGGGATAACATTACAACGGACACCCGAGACGGTACGGAACAGTCTACACGTCATGCCGTTCTCTCACACAACATCATGGATTGCCGTTCGTTTACACGTAGGCTCTTAAGCAAAAGAGTCTACTGTAGACCCCTCACGACCAAGATTGGCGCCCAGCCTGGGGGTTCTCCAAGGTTCCACTGGGAGGGCCCCTTGGTACAAAATAGACATAAACCCCGATGGAACCGCCGATGAATGCCAAACAACAGATGTTGAAAAATACAAAAATGCAATCCATGACGGAAAGACTACCCCGTTCGAGACCGTATTTCAAGACCCCAACCGGATGCGTTCAGGTGTTTACAACGATTGGTGAGGGACCCAACCTTACACGAGCCTGGACTCGAAGCCTTGATGGTGTTGTGAAGGCAGAGCGCGCGGCATGAAGGTCTAGTTACAGTAATTCTACAGTAGAGCGCTGCACTGTAGCATGATCATTAGAGTTCAGTGCACAAGAGTTCTGCGGACGAAAGCAGACGAAGTCGTACCATTCAAAATGTGCGTAGCGGTGCGGCAAGGAGCATGTGCCACACGTCGCTCTATGCAGTCTAACGGGCAACTCTTTATCCCGTGCTGCAGTACCAGTTCCCCTACAGCGCTTTGACGTGTTGACCAACAGCAGGGGACAGACAAAGACACAGACACAGACCCCGGGGCGATTGCTAGCGGGCGGTTGTTCCGACGGTTGGTTTCGAACAGCAATGAATGACATCGTTGCCGGTGATGGAACGCTAATGTGTCACGTCAATCAAACACCGATCCAGGATTGGGTTTGTATGTAGTTTGGAGTTTGGAGTATGTGTAGGCCTTACTTCTCTTTGGCTGGACTCTCTCTCTCTCTCTCTCTCTCTAAAGTACCTGGGTCTGTCTACCAAGCCCGCGCTGCCGCTGATGGAAGCTTGAACTGCTGCTCTTGGTACTACGCACACGCACATACCTGATTTTTGTTTCCTTCCGCCATCCTGGTGCTGTCGGATCCAGTCGTCTCTCTCAACAGCAGTGACTTCTTCTCTCTTCTCAGCTCTCCGACACAGCAGTCACAGCAAAAAGACCAACAACGGTCTCCCGTTGTCTCCACCTCCTCTTCTGGATGATGATGATCGATGATGGACGACGCGGCGGGTGTGTGTGTGTGTATTGTGTGGCATGTCGTCAAAAGTCTACGTTCCAAGTCTAGACCAGGTCTTGGTCTGCAGCTGATAGCTAGCTGCGCGGCGGTCGGCAGAGGGCGGGTCACGGTTGTCTGTCGAGATGATTGTTCCTGTTCGGGCCTTTTTGTTCTCCGAACGTCGAAAGTTGAACATTCGAACATTCCGTTCCCATCCCTGTGATCGATAAGGTGCGTGTGCAAAGGACATACCGCCCGTAAAACCGCCGGAAAAATACGTATGACTTTTAGGGTAATGTACATTATCCTTATTCGTGCCCATGGGTACCCATGGGTATACCCATGGGTTCCCATGAGCACCCATGGGTATACCCATGGGAACCCATGTGGGTACCCATGGGAACCCATGGGCATTGTACCCATGAGTGCCCATGGGCCCATGAGTGCCCATGGGTACCCATGGGGCGTGGGTACCTATGGGTAACGACGGTGGAAATTGCAAAACTCCCTCTGTTAGATGTATGCGTACGTACGTACTCCTGGTTGTGGACACTTTTAGGTTCGGCACCCGGCATTTTCTTCCTCTCGTCAGTCACTCTCTTTCTCGGGGGCACACAGCGGGTAACGCGATGCAACACTGCGCATGGCTGGTACTCGCCATTCACCTGCGGCGCCTGTCCTTACCGTTCAACCTCGCGTAAACTGGATGCATACCTGCGCTATGCTTACCGCCCATGACAAAGAAAGGCGATGATCCATCACCTAGCAACATATGAAGGCATAACTGACGGAGGAAATGTGTATATACGAAGTGTAAAGATCCCAGAGCACGTATTTCAAGCGGAAGGTCATCAGCTACCCTTAGGGCAGGTAGCCGGAAACGCTACTCTAGTCAGATGGCATTATGGCCGGGGTCGCGTCCCCCCCAGCGAAGGGGTATCGGGGGCGCTTGAGGGTTAGCGCCCGTGAGTTGCCGCCCCGGTCGCAGTTTACAGTCTTGGTGTACGTACCAACAGCGAATAACTCGACTCTCCGCTTTTGTTCATGGCCACAATTTGTACATCATGCTGATTCCATTGCTGCTGCCGCCCCAAGCGTCACCGCAGAGTCCATCGACAGCACCGTTGGCCTTTTAGACTTTGCGGCGGGCACGGTGATACGCTGCGCAGCAGTTCAACTAGGCTGAGCGTGTGCACCCAACTTTGGTAATAACATAGATCATGTGTGTGATTGTTTGGGGTTGTGTCGCAGTGTACGGCGAATGGAATAAGTGTGGTGTGTTCTTTGGATAAAACGAGAAAAAAAAAGGTAAGAATGCTCGTGGTAGAAAATATTCATGCGTGAGGGGCCTTGTCAACGGAGGGTTCTATGCGCCACATCTTCCCAAAGATTGCTTTTGTTGTCCTGGGCGCTCTTGTCGTCGTCCTCGTGCAAGAAGAGGCGGGAGTCCGCTGGCACAACCTCTCACGGAGGTTGGCAGCCACGAACAGTGTACATGGAATGACGTGTCGCAACACCTCGTGCGTGAAGCTGTGGGTCAAGTTTTCCTCGTGACCGGCTACAAGGCTGAACCACGTGCTTTGGTACTTACAAGGGACATCTCGAACGCTAAATTACTTGTAATACGTGCTGTTCGTTGCCGTACGCAGGAGCTGCCGACAAGGATTGGATAATTCTTGTCCACACACACACCGGTGTTAACCCCCTCCTGTGTAGCCTTGGATGGTTGTAGTTGTGCGGAAAAACGATACTGAAAGTGTACATTTTATTACTCTGCGTACAATGAAAAGTGTCGTATACGTCTCACGACGAAAATGGGAGTACTGTCGCCATACCAAGTTGGACGCCACCAATAGAAACCTGGGAAGGCCGTGCAAAAATGGTCATGTACGTACGCGGTTGTCGTCACCTGGAAGCCTCTCACCGAAAACACACCCGCGGACGCTCTTGCCGATACACGGTATACATACGAGAACATGGCAACAGGTAACGACCACTGTAAATGAAGCAGGCAGCCGCAAGGATGTTACTTCCATTGTGGCAGAGAATAACCTTGGAGGACCCGCTGATGGTAGTAAGTCGTTCCATACTTCGATTGAAAACACTAAACAACTGCGAGAGAGAAAAACCCATGAGGACCCGATGATGGTAATAAGTCGTTCCATACTTCGATTGAAAACGCCAAACAACTGCGAGAAACAAACGTGGCACAACACGAACGACTGAAGTCCCACAAAGAAAACCAGGGAATACCCCGCGTCGGAACATGCACGGGGCGCCATTCGTAAACCTCTTCACCCCACCGTGCCAGAGCGAGCTCGAGTGCCCTTGTCTACAAAACCACGATCATTCATCACGAAGTATGGAGCTGGCCACCACCAGGCATTTCCCCGCATAGTACTGCGCGCTTCAAGTGTTTATCCTTTCAACGAGTCAAAGATGCATCTCTAAACTGAACCCTCTTCAGCGACCTTGGCCACATGCAACCACACGTAAAACCGTCACCTGTAGACATCCCGTCAAACCTCAGTTCGACTATAGCTCTCGGCCAACGTACGCCTGACAGTGGTTGTTGGAAGCGTTTGCCAAACGACAACTCCTTCAGGGTAGGAGCCCAACATGACTCGAGAGTGATTGAATGATCCCCCGAAGGCAAGCGACTCCAATCCAGGCGGCCACTGCACGGTGTAAACCTTCGTGTTGAACTTACCCCCAAGCACCAGCGTCTTTAGGCTCGTAGGCCAAGTGGTGTCGCTTACACGCCACCCGCAGCCTGACCCAAACTCGAAAGCTTCTAGCGTGGACGGCCACTTAGCGCGTTCTACGGAAACCATGTCGTCGAAATCATCCGGGAACACAACTATATGCAAGTTCCTGGACCAATGAACGGCATCAACCTTCTGGTTAAATATTAAGGCGAACGACACCTCCTACAGCCCCTCAGGCAACTGCATGCCATGTATTGGGCTGTTGAAACTCGCCCCCAACCGTAGGACCTTGAGCGTGGCAGGGAGTACCACAGGAGGCCTCAGCCCCCCGTTCCACGCACCCCCCAAGGTGAGATACTGCAGCTAACCAGGCCAGATAACGTCTAGCAAGTTCTGCTGGAACGCATCACCGGCCGTCAGAGCGATCAATGCATCCGGCCAATGATAGCCGGTCAACGGCTGGTGAAAGCACGTACCAAACGCCAAACGTTGCAAGCTACTGGGCCACCGGACTGCGGCGATTGGCTGGTTGAAGCATCCTCCTAGACGAATGTCCTCGATGGAATTTACGAAAGTCACACCTTCGATGGACCTGTTGAATGTGCTTTCTAGCGAAAGTTGCTTCAAATTAGGAGGCATACTGATACTTTCGAGTGGCTGGTTGAAGCGGCTCTCGCAGCCGGATCCTGTTGTATTCTTATCCCTTACCCAGATCATTCGATGTAAGTATTGGATTTGGTTGGGTGAGGCCTCCTGCGCCGGCCTGTGGTCCCGCCCATTACTTTCTTGTTAATTATCCGATCTGTCACATCTTAGTTGTTGACTACTCACGCCTCTAAGCTAGGTCTCGCCCACCCAAACTTTCTTTATTTTTCGCGGCGAGCACACGCAGAGAAATCGCATGTGACGTAAGCCGACAACGGCAACGCGTTTGAATCTGCGTACAGCTCGCTACGGGTCCTCTTGGAACCCGTTGCCCCCACACTAGTAGTGGCGCCAAGATATCGCTTCGCTACACTCTCCGTACGCCACCCGGCAATTTTCATGATAGCGTCCATCGCCGTTCCGTCAAGCGACTGCGCTACAGAACCTCCGACGCGGAACGAGTGCATAGTGTAGCGGTGCGGCAGTCCCGCCGCTCGCAAATGCCCTTGTAGGGCAGCCGTCATCTGAACCGCCGTAAGCGGAGCGCAGCCCCGAGTTCCATCCAGCAGAACGATAGGAAACAGATGCCCTTGGGACAAATCCCAGCCAATACGCTCCGCCGCACTGATGTAGGCCGTAACATTGCTCACCGCACAAATAGACGGGCAAGCGACGTCCGGACGCACGACCACGGCATCAACAGAGTCCCGGAGGGTCTTGCCAAACTGGAAGTTGAAAATCAGACCCTGCCCCGCGGGCAACCGCAGAACTTGCGATCCCATAGTGAAGGAGAGATCATGGCCTCGCCGCATGGAGGCGAACGCCAGCGAAAACAAAGCGACGTCCCTGGTGAGCTCAATACGTTCCGCCAAAGAGGACGCAGTCTGCGTGCGAGAGCGCATGTCCCTCAACAGATCGATGAGGACGTGCGGTAACATAGCCTCTGCCTGGTTGACAGCGACACCCACACGTTTGTGTTCCTCCCGGTGAAGACGAGGTAGGAGTCGACGAGAGGACTACAACAGGGGTTGCCCGAGCGCGTGGCAGGGTCCCAGCTGCTGTCTTTTCCCAACTGTTCTTGCATCGCCATCTTCAGCTTGGACACGATCCCTTCTGCATGGACGCGGCGGCATACCGCTTAGCACATGGCGTGTTTGGAAGACAATCGCGGCCGTGAGTCGTGCCGACACCAGGGCATGCCCTGTCGTGCACCCACTTGGTACCACTACCTTGTGTGTCCAAGAAGCAGAGATAGTCAAACACGTCTCGGTCCGACGCCTGCTTCCAACCCCGACGTTGTTCAGTCGCTGAAAGTATGAAAGCGTCGAACCCGTCCGCTACGGCGCACTTGCGCTGTTGAGCACGACGGTTAGATGCGGCCGAGAGGACCTGATCACCACGAGGGCGCAGCGCGTCGAAATCGATCGACACCCGAGCCGCTTGAGGGTCACCCGGTACCGGACGCCCGTGGGCAGGCTGAACACCGCAGGACCAACAATA